CCAAGTAGCTTGAAACTTATATAACTTTACGGCTTGCACACAACTTGCCCGTAGGAGTTCAATACAGGGTGTTCCATGCCATCAAAACGCTTCTCCTGAACAACTGCAGTTATATGCCGGGTGTTTCCAATCCAACTATCACCATTGGGATCTCGGAAACGGTAAGAACAAGGAAGTTGGTTAATTCGGGGCAAAGCTGAGTGAGCACTTATGTAACTCAGGAAATGGTACTTAAGGGCTTGCGCAGACAGAAAGCGTTCAAACGTTCCGAGCTCCACGTTCTGCGTTCCACGTTCTTTGTAACTAATATATCTCCATCGAGTCACGCAGACACAGCGGCAGTCAGACCGCGCCGGTCAGTGTGAATTCTCGCGTTATTGCGTTCTATTGAGTTGATTCAGTAAGGGAAAGGCGTTTTTTATATGATCTTAGTAACGCAGACTACAAAAAAGGTTTGAAAAAATTGCAGCATGGCTTGAAATAGCCACGGAGATGGGAAAATACTGCCAATTTTTCTTTTTTAGATACAGTAGAACCCCGATTATCTGAAATAATGTGTACTTTCGGATAAAACGGAAATAAATATTTAGACTCATAATGCCTTTATTTAAAAAATTAAATGCGTGTGTTAAGTGAGTATATCTATATAAGGTTACGTAAAATATAAACATATAAATGTTTTGCATTGTTCCTATTTTTGGCAGCAATACCCCTCCAACGTTTGATACTTAAGTAGCACATCACCGATCAGCTGCTGTCGCATTTTCTTGTTGTTCTACGTAAGTCAACGCCTTTTGTAAAGCTTCTAATCCCTCAGAATATGATATTTTGGCAAAGATTTCTGTCTCATTGTCACTAGCATCTCTTAAAACTGTCTCATCGCCATAGTTACAAACAGTTTTTATTAGTTGAGTATCAGTCAATTCTTCCACCAATTCATCACCATTAATCCAACATCTGCTTGGGTAAGATTTTCACACCCTGCTATTTTTACGAGCTCATGTAAATTTTCGTTGTTATTCGCATAGTCTGCACAAGGTTCCATTTCTTGCTTAATTATTGTCGATCAAGATTTGTAATGTAGAATTTTTTTCCTAGCTCCATGCTTCTGCTATAAAATATGCCACATTCTTTTGGTGAATCTCTTTTAAACAATCAACGAGGTTACAACCATTATCAACTTGATCTAAAATTTGATCTAATAACAAACGTATGTAATTGCGTTTTAAATTTTCTGTAACTCCTTGATCCATTGGCTGAGTCAGTGACGTTAAATTAGGAGGAAAAAACGTTACTCATATCTCTCCACTTTTATGTTGTTCTTCACTTGGGTGGCTTGGAGCATTGTCTAATAGCAAAAGAAATTTTCTCGGACATCCGCGTTCAGTCAAATATCCAGTCCTAAAATAGAGCGACCTCCATCCAGGCATTTTTTTAATTTTTATACACAGGAAGAGCGTTGGGACGGACGTGTTCATGGTTTAGCTGATTTTCCGATTAAGATCAAAGGAAGTTTGTGTGTACCGGAAGCATTGCTACAAGCAAGGATAGTCACACGTTTTTTACTACGTTTGTAACCAGGAGCTCTAGATTCTTGTTTTGAAGCCAAACTTTTCGCCGGTAACATTTTATAGTTTCGTCGCAGTTGTAAATTTGTTCTGGATTTGAACCATACTACTTCATTAATTCTTTAAGGTGTTCTCCAAATTTTAATGCAGCGGGCTTATCGGCAGATAACTTTTCTCCGCAGACTTTTAATTCTCGTATACCGTGTCGTCTTTTCCATCTGTGCAGCCAACCATCACTGGCTGTAAAGTTATCAGGCGCCTCAATAACTGGCAATTCTTCACTTAAGTTGACTGCCTTTTGCTTTAGAATTGATCCGGAAATTGGCATTCCACGTTCTCGATTCTGTGTAAACTACAGATATAAAGCGTCATCCACTTTTTTGATACTCCCCCTTTTTCATAGCTTTCCGTAACGGCTGCGATGATGTCACATTAGACCACTTTTCGATTTTCACGCTTTGTTTTTTCCATTCTGAAATGATACTCACGCCCACACCCAAATCACTTGCCACATTTTTCAGCAAATCACCTCTATCTAAACGTCTGATTGCCTCAAGTTTCTGTTCTATGGTAATAACAACGCGCTTACGTTTATTTATATGCTGCTCCATCTTAGCGACTATGAACCTGACTGAAACAAACATACACACACAATACAGCATCTGTACATCGATAAATTTAAGCACAGTAAATACTCCGTACTTACTGTATTCTTGCTTAAAAGCCATACAGAAGCTGTGTTTTTATTTATAACCAAAGCAATGGCGATAGCAGGTACTGTATGGGATACACGTAATCACACCGAATTCATAATATTTTTAATTACATTTCGTCGGTCATTTAGTATATTTGTAAGGACACTGTAAAACTTTTTTATAGGTTTCGTATACTAAATATATATAATGTGCGATAAACAGCATCGCGTAGTACTTACTGGGTTCAACCCAAAAGCATTATTTTCGCTTAAAACGTTACAATTCTAGAAGGGTTACAAGACGTTCTCATCGCCTCTGCAAAATGTGAAATTCGCACATACAGGGTGCGTCATCTATTACTTTTTTTCTATTTGATAAATCAACACGCTTTTTACGAGGTGAAATCGAAATTTTTTTATTGATAAATGAAGGTTGGTTTATGTCATTTATGTATGAAAAATATCATCAGTCATGTGACCACCGCGGCTTCGTTTACAGGCCTACATCCGAACATCAAAATTTTCAATGACTTTTCCCAGAATAATCGGGTGTATGGCCGCAATTTCAGTCCGAATATTACGCTTTAGATTTTGAATTGTCCGGGGACTATTCGCATACACTTTTCCTTTCAAAAATCCCTAAAGAAAATAGTCAAGAGGTGTTAAATCGCACGATCTCGGAAGCCAACTCACATCTGAAATTCGTGAAATTATGCAGTCTTGAAATTTCGTGTGTAATAAGGCGATTGTTTGGCGAGATGTGTGAGCCGTTGCTCATTCTTGATGAAACCAAAGATCGTCGGCACCAATACGATCCAGTTGTGTCCACAAAAAGTCTGTTAACATGCCGCGATAACGTTCCCCGTTGACGGTAATGGCCTTTTCTTATTTACATACCCATTGAGGTGAAAATGAGCCTCATCAGAAAAGAGCACTTTGGTCGAAAATCCGTCTTCTCTTTCCAGCCTCCAATTAACAAAAACACGGCGCTGATGATGGTCGGCCGACTTCAATTCTTGTGTTAGTTGGATTTTGTATGGATGGAGGTGTAAATCAGTGTGTAAAATCCGGCGTAAAGTGGTCTCACTAATTCCCAATTGTTGCGAACGGTGCCTAGTCGAGGTGTTTGGATCTTCTCGCACACTTTCACTCACTGCGGCTATGTTTTCAGGAGTACGAGCTGGACGAGCATGTTGGTATGGTCTACGACCTTCAGCTGATCCAGCTTCCTCAAAACGATTAACAATCCAACGAATTCCGGGCTCTGTAGGGCGTCCATGTCGGCCAAAACTAGAGCGAAAAGTATTTTTTACATTTCGACCGTTCTCGTGATAAGTTTGGATAACCAAAATGCGTTGTTGTGTTGTAAACGAATCCATGACTATAAATGGCATACCTTTGACAGTTCATGTATGCATACCACATTACTTTTGACTCACATGGTAACAAATAAACTTATAGGTAAAACAAAAGTAATAGATGGTGGTACTATCTTCTGGTTTATGATGGCGCAACTAAGTTTTACCAGATACAGAGTAATACAAAGCAGGAACTTGCTGATCAGCTGTTTACCTCAGTAGACATCAAAACGTAGTAGATACTCGCGAAATAGGATGTGCATATATGGTTTGGCTCTGATGTGATGTACCATCTGCTTTAGAGGTGGCACTAGCGGCCGCCATTTATAGCTTCTATGGCTTGAGGTGTAAATTCTCTACTATAAGGTGTTCGCCATAGATGCCGTTCACAGCAACTGGGCGTGGCAAATGGTCGTGGAGCTTCAATTGTTGGATTAGGATTAGTAGAACTTTGTAAGTAATCATACCCTGGTCCTTATGCAAAATTTTGCTAAGATAGGTGTAAGAAACGTTTAGTTCCTGAGAATGATGTCGAGTAGATGCTGATGCATATTCTGTACAACAGCAGCAATGTTTTTGACTGAACGTAGCGAACGATAATTGGCTCGGGTTGTTCCATCCAATAATAATCCGGTCTCACGAACTTGCTCCACGAGTTAGCTCACAAAGTTGTTGATGGTCTGTCTCATATAGCGAATTTTCCATGGAAATCTCTTATAGTTTGGGTTAAAGACCACCAGTTCAGAAGGAAGTTTTCAATATTCCACAATTTTGTTGAAGCGTACGTCCCATTTCGAAAATGTCAAACATATAACTAATTTTCTGGAACGTCAAAAGAATATTATATCATTCAATGGCAACATAACCGCTGGTTCAAGTTTCATATCCCACCGTGTATCTTGTAAGTGCTTGGCGATATTAATTGGTTATGCGTATGACCAAAACGAAGAGATACTACAAGATCGTTAGAGGAGAATATAGTTTTAGATTAATCTAACCTTGCAATAGGTGTCCAATGTTTTGGAAACATCTACGCTCATACGTAGAGTCGACCTTACTGGAAACTAGGGTCAAAAACGTACAATACGATACGTCAAAGAAGCAGATACGGAGCAATATCATACAGGATATCCGCTGAAGATATATAACAATGTTCAACCACGTAGTGTTATCGGAACATGCAAAAACTAGCATGTTTCCCTACCACGAATAGATATGAGTCTTGTATGACTGTGTTTCACGCCCTGATGAACACCTTCTGATAACGATATCAGTGTATTTGTATCATTCATTAACTTAGCTACGTTTGAATAGGTCATTCAACTACTGTTCGGTGAGTAATACGGTTCGTGACTTGGCATTAGTATAATTTAGATTAAAATGAAACCGAGTCGATTAACTCAATAAATAGTATCATGAGGTTCTGACATAAGAGTGATCAACCTACTTAGAAATTGGCCGACAACATTATCAATCTTAAGAAGCGACTGACGACAAACTGCCCTCGGAATCTGAGGATCGAACAAGCTCCCTGGTCTATGAGATGCCTATGTAATCCGCAGCAAAATGGCATACATACGTCCTTCTGGCATGGGGCCACTCTCCGCACATGTACATGCTTGTCCTGCAGAAATGTATCTGGTATATAGCAAATCTAAAATATAGAAAAGCCTGCAGAGCTTAGTTTATCAAACTAAAAACCATGACATTACCTGGTGCATTACCTATATTAAGCTGCCTCTTGTATGTTAAGTCAAATCCTGATTTTTATAAAAACCGCCATGAAACTCATTCATACAATACCCGACACAGAAACAACTTGTACCCAAAGCAACAATGAGCCGTATTCATAAAAGAGAAGCATATCCTCGGAAGCATAAGGTCTTGCTTCGGAGAAAAAATGTAGAGTATAAGCATATCCTTGTTTTCATATTCATAACGATTACCTTATACTCGCGAGGATATCCTCCAAGAAGAATAAAAAGGTTGGCTGGTATTTGTATCTTGAGCGACATGTCCTGACTTGTTCCAGCTTGTAGTTGACGTGGGAGTTCGTTCACTCAGCATCACTGACAGTTGTACTCCAGAGCTTACACGGACCGTTCCGTATTTTTACTGGATACAGTTTTTTATCAAATTAATAATCCAGGCCAACTCACATCAACACTTATGAACTTCTCTCTGGCATCACAAGTGGCTTGCACATTTAAAGTAGTTTTCCCTTTTCGGTTGATATACTCATCCCATGGCGATTTGGTTTCAGGATTCCTATATGTGTACAATCAATTACACCAATTGCTGTCGGAAATTTATCCATGCTTTGCCATATCCGCTTGACCTCCATCAGTTCGTGGTTGGTAGTTGGAAACTTGATCCAGTCGTTCGACTGTGCAACAATGCTGTTCACAACTCTATCCACAGTCCGAGATACCGTTGCTTGACTAACACCAAGTTCCTGACCAATACCTTGTTGATATACAGGGTCGCCGAGATAGCGTAGACATATCTTTATTTTATGGATACATGAAAGTGCTCCTCCTCGAGTTTCCTCATTCTCAACTAGAAATCTGTCCGCAAGCCATTGTACATTTGTTTCGTCGAACCGATATAATTTTTTGAAGTCACGACCAAGTGAAGTTAAACGAGGTTTGTACGTTTTAACATCCCTAGCATCCACAATTTCCGCCATCATCGTTTGACCTCCTTTCGTTACGAAGTTGAGTCTGCTACTGAGCACACTCAGAATTTTTGAAGGATATGCTTCCTATGCCAAGTATAAGGTGAAGATTATGAATATCCTTTTACTTATGTCCTTGCTTTGAAGGATATGCTTATACTCAAAAAGCAAAAGCATTTACTTCAAATTATTATAAATACCATCTGGAGGATTTCCTTCAAAATTTTCAAGTACAAGGATATCCTTTGTTTTATGAATATGGCTCAATGACTTGCGAAACTGACAAATGGAGTTATCTACCATGCATTATATTTTATAATGTTTTACCCAAGCATACAATTAATTCAGTATTCCTGTGAAAGATTTGCTCTTTTCGACAGTTTTCTTCACGATTGACGACTACCTCAACCACAACTTCTTCTCGGATACTCAATAGCTATGACATTTTATGCTATGTTTTCTTTTTTCCTTTTTATTCAACCATTTACATACGAATATTATCTATTTATTTATTTATTTATTTATTTATACATTATTGCCCAACAGAACTATTCCAATTAAAGGACAATATCATGGTAACTTTACTTATAATTCATACATGTAATGTATACCTAAAACTAATTTAAAAAAATAGAACTAGCTATTATAATAGTACCTGAAATTCGACACGATCTTACTGATACAATCAAAATTAATGTCAGAACTGTCTGCTATGGAATTATAATTGTTGCATATAGAATGTAGCGGAGAATAAAATAATACATTTGTACGGGAGGTACTGCAGTAGAAAGTTAGAGTTCTTCTCGTATTTAACCGAGGAATATAGAAATTTAACCTCTGGAGAAGTTCTGGTGCATCCACTCTGTCGTGCAAAAGCTTATGAATGAATGATAGGCCAGCAGTGGAACGTCTTAACTGTAGAGACTCTAGTTCAAAACGACGCAGCAGAACAAATTGAGAGACCCCCCTTTCTGGATATGTGCCATCGATTTTATAAACACAGAATTTAAGAAATTTCCTCTGCACATTTTCTAAGATGCTTATATAATACGCATAGAAAGGGTTCCATATCAAACAGGCATACTCAAGTTTTGGTCGCACCAGTGAAATAAAAAGAGCTTTTAGTGCCGCTTCGTTGGAAAAAGATCGGCAGTTGCGCATTATGAAACCCAGAATCCGTGTCGCTTCGGAAGTGACGCGTGCTATATGGACAGAAAAGTCCAATCTACAGGAAAATGTTACACCAAGATCTTTAGTCTCTGTTGTTCTCTCCAAAACCGCATTATTTATGGAGTAATCAAACATTGTAGTTTTAGCCCTTATTCCAGTTATTTATTAACTAGACGTAGTTCGTTATAATTTTATCTTTTATATTTTTAATGTATTGTATTGTATTCTTTGCTTTTATATGTATGCTTGTCATTTACTGTCTTCTTGTTACTAAGCTTAAATTATAATATTGACTTGTATAAGCAAGTTTTGTGAAATAACCCCAATAAACTATTCTCTCTCTCTCTCATCCGGTAATTTCATCAGGAAAGGGATCTACCTGCCCAGTTCATGAAGTGATCGAGCATTTCATGAAATGGTCGTATTTCATGGAATTTATTATTATCCATTGGCCAGATCATAATGTGCGGTCACTAGATCAATGAAAATAAACCGTTCGTCGATATGATCAACTAAACTTCATAAAAGAGTCAAGCTTGTTCGATCAATTCGTAAAATAGTTCATCCGTTTACGTTTACGTGTCAACATAAGGGCCGTTAATAACAACGTGGTTTTTGAAGTGAGATTTCTAATAATCGGTTACTTTATAAAAAGGAAGGTGACATTCAGAGACTACTACAAAAAGGTACTCAAGTAATACGAGGGTCACACTATATGTATATTCTGAGATACACGAAAACTAAAAATTATTTTTCAAAAACTAGTTTATTTATGCTTAAAGTATTCTCCTCCAGCATCAATGCACTGCTGTTACCTGACCTTCCTCAAATGAAATGCTTCTAACCAGTCTGTTTTTTGGAATGCCTTCAACAAACTAATTAATAGCTTCATCGATTTCCTCTTGGGACGAAAATTTTCGACCGTGCAGATTTTTTTCTCAAATTCTTGAAGAGCCAGAAGTCACACATTGCCAAATCTGGCGAATAAGGCGTTCTGATGTTTCGCTGGCGTAAAAAGTCTACAGTTAGTTGGGCAGTATGGCTAGAGGCATTGTCGTGATGCAGGATTGTACCTCTGCGACAACTTTTTTTGAATGAAGATGATCATGCCAAATGGTGTGCACTGTTGCGGATCCTACCACAAGAGGTGCCTCTATAGTCGCATATGTGCAGCGAGAATCTTCTTCAATCAGTCGCTGAACTTTAGCAATGTTTTATGGAGTCACTCTAGAACATGGCCTACCACTACGTTCTTCATCAGCCATTGAAACACGCCTTGTTTTAAATTCGACATACCATCGAAACACTTGCCCGAGACGGGGCTATATTTCCAAATGCCTGTTGTAACAATTCGATTCATTTGTTTACACCACGTGCACTGTAAGTCGCTGGCAAATGAACTTAATGCGGCGACTTACTAATAAAGGACTGTTCTTTCTTACCGGTTTTAACTAGTATAGTTAATGCGCATCCCAAAATATATAGCGTGCCCCTCGTATACGAGTTTCATGAACACCCTATCTTACGATATGGCCAATCATGGATGACCAAATCGCTTTAACGTTGACGATTTAACAATATGGTCAATTTAGTTGGCTGCTTCATTCATTTCAAGAAGGTCTGTTCGAACACTTAGCTCAGTATTAGTTTTCATTTTGATAAGAACTATGTATTCCAATTTTGAAGCGACTTGATTAGAATTATTTTTGATTTCCACCGATGGTAATAAAATCAACACATCCTGAGTACTTGTTGCATTTTGCGAGAGCGAGCGCTCGAAAATGTAACAAATACCATTACCTGTTACCCCTGAGTAACTCAGACCATGGCTTTGTGGAAGTTGGGTTTTGGTGAGAATCGGCTGTGTCAACAGATTCTCGCCCAGGCCACACAATTTGGCATTACGGATTTGCCGACTCTGAGGGACTCGATAACCGAAATTATCCACGCTTGGATGGAGGAATGCGTTCCTTAAACAGTGAAGGTGCCTAAACTCAGGTCCAACGGCTGATTCAACAAATCGTGCGACACTGCTGCTCGTCAGCAGAAGATCAAGGCACACAGAACCGATCTCTGTCGGTAAGCTGGAAAACTAGCAGCAACTTCCTCTCTGACGAGATACCTGCACGGCTATTATGTAAAAAAGTAAAAAAACCGACGAAACGTCATCTTGCAGACTATACCCTATTCGTAGTCCATTTACGCCCCGGCACAACAAAGATGCAGCGCAACATAGCGGCAGCCGCTTAAGTGTTGCAATAGCTATTGGTCGTTCGACCATGACACTTCTAACAAGTGCAGGATTCGACAGGATAGAACTCAGGCTCGGGGTGTCGCCGGCAATTACTGTCCATATTTGGTGCATGCATAGCGTGTGTCTATACGTTAGCATGTCGTCTACGGATAAAGCAGATGAAACTGAGAATATTTCTCCCAATGCTTCCTTCAGTGATGCTTCCTCTTCCGTGATGTCTCCTCCCCGAAAACATGACCAGAAGGGGCATTTGAGTATTAAGGCAAAAGAAATTGTCCTTAACGTTTATAACAGCGGAATTTAAGAGCATCCTGAAATGTAAAGTCTTGATATTGAAAACAGGCTTATGTCCTAAGACAATTTTCAACATTGTTGAAGAATATAAAAAAAACAAAAAAATGTCTCCACAACACAAGAGGCTGCATTACGAGTACACGAAGCTGTTGGATACAGTTGATAACTTTGATCGGAATGCCATCAGATGCAAAGTCCATCAATTTTTTGAAAGGAATGAAGACAAGATCGACTGGCCTAAAAAATCCGTCAGGTACGTGTATCTAGCCAATTCCTCATTTGTGTTGTAAAAATGGTGGTAGACTGGATCTATGAGCCCACGCTGAAAACATCTTAGAAATCTGATAAACTTAGAACCAACACCTGCAAGATATTCTGCTTGAATTATTATCAGTTTTCTTGAATATATGAAATAATTATTTACCAGGAAAATAAAAACCACTTGTTACCTATCACACTGGCAGTGAAGATGTCTTTGTGCCCACTGCCCTATGGACATTTGACTCA